CTGTGGCACCCTGGAGGTGGTGCAGCCTGTGGCAGCACGGCTTTCAGTAACAGAGGGCTTCAGAGGTGGTGGTGGACTGGTCACCCAGTGTCAATGGGAGGAACCTTGGGGAGACCTGGCCTAAAGGAGAGGAGGCCATCAGAGAAACTGGGGGGCAGCCCAGCAACTGCCCAAACACGCAGGAACATTGGGTGTCTTTGGAGGTAGCACAAGAAGTGCTGCAGGAGTATCCCTGCCCCACGCACGCTCCCCAGTGGATAACCCATTGCAAGAGCATGCTTGGCAAACCCTTCAAGCCCCGCACTAAGCCACTATTCAGAGGTAATGCAAGTTTTGACTGCTTATCTTTCATTCTTCAACCTCCTTTCAATAAATCTTTCATTTCAGGGTCTTCTCTTTAATTTCAGCAGTATCAACCACAGACCCTACTCCTCCTTTTCCTAACCCTTCCCCCTGGGAAGCACAGAAGAGTCCTCACAGTGCCTTGTGTGCCCTGCCTTCACCAAGGAGGCACTTCAGCTCCTGCACGCCCAGTACTCAAAACAAATGCCAACTGGCCACGTAACCACACAAAGCTGCTGGACTTCCCACAACAGAGCTGCATCACGAGGCCTTCACCACGCTGACCTTTGGGGGCCAGAGACTGTCCTCAAGCCTTGCATCCCAAGGCAATCCTTAAGCTTTCTCCAAGGACGTCAAGGTTCCCCCTGGTGCCAGCAAGATGCACACATCCTTCACAGAGCTGAGTGGGTCAGATTCACTCCTCCGGTCTATTTGCTGGTTCATCCTCGCTGCTTGTTGGGAACAAAGATACTTGACCACAGCCCTTGAAACCAGTGAGTGCTCTTAAGCATGAGCACTCTGCAGGTTTTGAGGTCTAAACATCCCCAGCTGACCAGCATCACTGGTGCTTTTAAGCAGCAGCACTTATTTCAGCTGATAAAGATCCAGTCTGCAGAGAGTTCAGAGTAAGCACAGACCTCTCACATTTACAGCCCCTCCCTCCTAGACCACTAGGGACAGCACTCTTTGAAGGTTTTTAATAACTTTATCCAGAAATCACATCCTTTTCACAGAAGAGAGCTCGTCTCTTTTACTGAGGGACCACAATGAAAGCAAGCATCGTTACGAGCTTGCCAGCCTCTGGAGGGTGATGGTGACCAGTCCTACAGACCCCACCGCTGCTGGAGCCACGCTTCTCCCCTGCTGCAGGTTGGCACCAACAGCCTGGGACCTGAGCAGCAGAGCTGCTCTCTCCTCAAGGCAGCTATGGAAATCCCAGGCTTGCAAAATAGAAAGATTTTGCCCACTTGGACTTGTTTTGTGTTTAAATGTGAATTAAATGCCAATAACTAAAGACTAAATGCCTAGTCCAAACTTCTAACTCTGCAAATAAGTGAATGATTGCAGATTGTGTCCTGCTCTGGCTCCTTTCCCCCTCTTAAGTAACAGCCCTCTTCAAATTCCAGCAGTGTTCATGTAAACTTCCCAAATAAGCTTATCTCTACTATTATTAACTTAGGATTTAAATTAATAATGCAAGGCCTTTAGGTTTATAAGGAAAATGAGTAACACACCTGCCTAGACAAAAATTATCAGTATTATTTAGTTGGCTTACAAATGCAAGTTGCTGTTCAATAAGTATTTTTTGTTATTTACATAATGTCTAAGTACTCCCTCCAAGCACCTCTTTTGTGGATTTTCATTTCAAAAGTAGAATTTCACATTTATTGCTACTTCCAGCACAAAAGTTTGGGCTGGTACTTTTTATATGAGAGAAGGCATTACCCTTTGAAGACCAAAAGAGATTATTAACTAAAAGCTACCGACCAAAAAAGCCTATGCAGCTACTCCTGTCAAGTTTGAAAGATTATTTTTAGCTTAGACAGCATGACAGTTACACACCCAGTCATAATTTAAACCACAAAGTGATGAAGAATTCATCCTGCCCCTATCTAAAGTAAAGGAGATGTTCAGTAAGCTCCTCCTATTCTGTACCTTCTGCAGTATGTGGCCCTCAGCGCAGAACTATTGTCACGCATTTCATTCATGAGTGAAATGCAAGGAAAATACGCAAGTTATAAAAAACCCAAAACACCACCACCCACAAAACAGTGAGTAAATAGAGCAAACTTAATTTAGTTTACCCCGTAGAGAAATTTTAGCTTATTGAATTCTGCTCACTAAATGTTGATTCACCTAGAGGATGAAAAACTCTGAGCGGGCTTTATGCTTAGTTGTGTAAACGTTCCTGAATGTAGTAAGTTATTTAAGAGCTCACAACAGACAAAGAGGTGGTGTCTATACTAAAAAAAAAAAAAAAAACACAAAACAAACAAAAAAAACCCCAAACAACAAAAAACCCCACAAAACCCAAAAAATTTTCATTTTGTGAGGCACTTAATCTTCCAAACTAAGTGAAATTTTCAAATTCAGGAAGAATGTTCTCTTTAAAAAAAAAACAAACAACAAAGCAAAAGTAAATGTTTTGCAAGTATAAATAGCATAATTTTTGTTTCTAATGGTCAGTGCTAGCAGCAGAGAAAAAAATCCACACTTTGGGCAAAGTCCTTCGACTAAGTTTGCCTTCCCCCTTTTTTTTTTTTTTCCTTATCATAAGTGGAAAAGCATTCCACACTTTGGGCAAAGTCCTTAGACTAAGTTTGCCTTCCCCTTTTTTTTTTTCCTTATCATAAGTGGAAAAGCATGCACCATCTTCATGATTAAAGGTACTGTTGTAATAGACAAAAGAATGTGAACTATGGTCTATAAAGGAGTACACTGAAGTCTTAAAGCTTCCCCCTCGCCACTGGTGTGATTCATGCACTCAGAAGATACAGGCCACGAACCCTGGGCACGTATCTTCAAGGAGTACACAGCAAACTACGTCCCTCATACCTTATACCAAACAGCTGAGACAAACAGCTATTCTGCCCTACAAAAAAAAAAAAAAAACCAACAAAAACCACACACTTAAGACAACCCAATGAAGAAATAAAAAGCTGTATGTGCCAATCTTCAGCTGAACTCCTTCCTCTCCTTTCTGCAAATTCAAGAAAAATTGCATGGTCTCCATCAGAAGAGATGTGTTCCTAAGGGCAGGAGGAGTCCGAGAGCTGATCTGATCCAGCCCAAAATTCCTTCTGAGTGCTGACAGCTCTTCAGCCTGGTTGTGTGACAGGCTGACAGCACCTGCAGCGTACAGCTACCGACAGAGCAGCAGAGTAATTGGCCTGGCACACCTCCACCTGCTTTTAATTCCCCTGACCCTGACGATAGGGGTGGAGGGGGGAAAGCAAGGGAAGATCAACCCAACATGAAGCTGGACTGATGGGGTCGTTCTTCAGAACGAGACTGGAGCAATGTTCAAATCTGTATCCTGAACAGGAAAAAAAAAAAAAAAAAAAAATTCACCTTAACAGGGCCCACTTCTGCTTCCCGAATCAGCATATTTTCTTAGCTTTTCCTCTTCCCTTCTGAAAACCCATCTTCAGGTATTACCCACTAGCATCCTGCATCCCAGTTATTAATTGTGACCTATGCTGATAGTGTTTCCTTCCTTATGGAGGTGTTGTGAAGACTACAGTCACAAGACAGCCTGCTACTTCAGCACAGAGAACCAAGGGATATTTTGCAAGCAAACCAAGAAACCCTCTTCAGGGCATGACTGGGAAAGAGAGTGTTGTATAGGAAATAAGAGGCGGCCACATGTGGGACACAAGACTTCAAGTTCAATATAAACAGTTTCTTCAATCACTATCACTGCCTCTGCTGCTCAGTAATTTAGGCAGAGGTCTTGTCCCCTTCATGCAAAGAATAGTAATCTGTTCTCATATACATGTATGACTCTACACAAAACATGTATTATGGTAGTTTCCTTATACTATGGTAGTTTCCTTAACAGGAAGGAAATGGTGTAATGGTGTTCTTCAAAAAGTATAAAGCTGTTACAGGTATTTAACTAGAGAATTCTGTGGAAAAACTTCTTTTTAAGGGTATTCTCCTGTACTCTGAACATCCAAAACTTGCATAAAGCAACAGGAATTTTTGGACATGCACAAACTGCCAGCTTTGCCCTTGGAGAAATGCTTTTAAAAATAATAATAATAAAAAAAAGTTTTAAAGGAAAGCAAAGTATCTTGCTCCAAAAAGTACACTTAACTTTTTCTTGATGAAAATAGGAATGATCTGAGAATGGACATAATCTTCCCTCTTTGATCAACACAGCAAAGATAAAACACCAGAAATACTTACAATTCCTAAGGCAAGTTCTTTCTACATCTGCTTTAGGCTATTTTGGCTGTAGCATTTATGTACTCTAATTATTTTGTGCATTAAATACCATAAATATCCCTGTTGATTTGTGATCTATTTGTGGGTTCCAACATACAGCTGTATTTCATTTGGTTGAGAGGACATTCTGCAAGCAAGACTTGTGCACCAATGCGTTTCATGGACAGCCATTATTATTTATGGATAAACCAGCGATGCTAACAGCTTTTCTCTATGCCATAGTTCAATTTTATGTCTGTGTACCTATACCTAAGTGTACCTCTGTAGGAGAGAGGAAGAATATTTACGTGTGATTCCCTTTGAAAGCAAGCGAACAATCCATTAGCTTCATGTGGAAGGAACTTTGCAATCCCTTTGCAGCACACAAAAATCCTTTGCAAGCAAAAAACCCTAGGAATTTCTTCAGAGACAACAGATTTTTCTCAAAGACTATACACAGAATTAATAAAAATATTGTATCTCTCCTTATGAGTAAGCCCCATCCCCAAATTAGTTTAACCTACTGTACATATAGCACATTATGTATTTCCCCGTTTCGTGCATGCCTTTGGGGTTCTATGGATAGCTGCCACCTGCACAAGGTATTTTGTTTCACGGGCATGCACATAATACATTTTGTTTAGCACATCAGAAAGAGAAGAAGAATTAGTACTGAAGGACAAGGCATATCTCATAAAAAGACAATCATGCAAGTTACATCCACCTACCTGTACTAGTGCGATATGTGCCTGTGTGTGCTGGTTGCAGAGGGTCCCCCTGACTCTGGCTGAGACTCCTCATAGGGGGCTTCTGATAAACTCTGTCTTCGTAAATAGGATCTATATGGTGTTCTGGAGACTGCAGTGCCCTTAACTCGGAGCCAAGGTGGCTGTGCTGGCTGCTGTAAGATGCCCGAGACCCAGCTGCAAATAGATTTAAGAGACATTTGAGAGAGAGGGAAAAAAAAAAGTGACAAATACAGGATCTGACTTTATTAAAAGTTTACTTGAAAGTAGCACTTAAACACAAAAAAAAAACCAAAACAAAGAAATAAAACGTTTTCAACATACAAATAGAAACAGCATGCAAGGGCAGCACCAGCTCCAGTTAATCCCTGTAGTTGCATCATCCAGCTGCCTGCATTTACTCCAAAACCTCATTTCTTCCAACAAAACGACATATTTTGTAGACAGATATCATATCATCACCTCGTCTTAAATAGAGACCAAAAAAAAAAACCCAACCCCCCTCAAAAACGCCAAACACCCCTCGAAAACAACA